TATATATATATATATATATATATATATATATATATATATATATATATATATATGTGTGTGTGTGTGTGTGTGTGTGTGTGTGTGTATAAGTGTGAGAACACTGCAGTTAAGCCTCCTGCTGCCATTGAATCTAAATGACACCTTAAAAGTCAAGGGGCATTTTAACCCAAGGACAGCAGGGGGATTTTTGAGACTTGTTCAAGGTGAAGCAGTGATTAAAATATAGGATTTCTCTATTATATACCCAGGTAGCAACAATTAACAAGTTACAAAAAAATAAAGCCACAGTTGGCAAATGTCAAAGTATATAAAGAATATACTTATATAATACAATATTATATAAGAATAAGGTAACATGATTTTTGTATTACAGAAACAGAAATAAAAATGTGTGCGGTTGTTTCACCATTTGAAACAGTTCCAAACATTCAGTATGACTTTTTCTTTGTCATTTAAACTGCAGAAAACAAAAGTTTTACTCCAATGTGTCAATCTGAATTCAGTAATCCTGTATGATGGTACTTCACAGATTTCTACTTCACTATACAATTTCTTTATATCTTTTCTTGCAAGTCTATTGAACACTTAGAACTCTGCTTTTCTAATTTTAAAAAATTCAGATCAAGAAAAAGAAAGGCATTTTTATGAAAACTACCTCAATACTTTTGCATATTATGCTAAAATTTATGATACTGGGTTCATAAAAAATAAAAAAAAAGACTTTTGAATCTGCACAGAAAAAAAAAACTGTTAACCAACAGTCACATAGTGGGACAACCAGTTTGATGGTGATAAGATGGTTTCTGGACTCATCACAATATTTTCACCTGGATTATTGAGCATGAACTTTGATATTTTGAACCACTTTGGCTATGGCTGCCTCAGAGGAGTCGATGGGGGAGAGGGCAGACTCCAGAAATCATCTTATTACCATCAAACTGGTTGGCCCACTATGTGAGTGTGCTGCTTAAGGGACTGAGTTTGTTGTAGCTCCTCAGACTGATGAAGTCCTTGGGATGAAAGAAGAAACATTTGAACACAAAGAAACCATCCAGAGGACCTGACTTAATTTTGTTGGATTTTTACCTGGATTATTGAGCAAGAACTTTGATGTTTGCTAACAGTTTTTACTAAGAGTGAATCATGTTGGACTTTTTTGGTATGTTTTAATCCTCTCACCGGTCTTTAACACCGCTCCAGTTATCATGTGCTAACGTGTGTAGCCTGTGTACATGTGTGTTTGTTTGACTGTGAGCAAAATCTCTCATGAACCAGAAAACAGATTTTAATGGTTCATCAGAAAGTAATCACTGGATACATCTACAACCAATCAACTTTTGAGTAAATTGGATTTAATCTGATTTACAAGTAATCAATCTGGCTCACGCATAAATGGCAATAACTCAGTTTTACAGATACTGGGCTAAATTTAGGCATGTTAATTGCTACACATACTTCAAGTCCTAACAGATTGGGCAAGAGGGTACAGGCCATTTTAAAATATATCAAAGGTGATAATAGAATTGAGAAGTTTAAATGTAGAAGCAGAATTGCAGTAACAAAGATTCTTTCTTCACCCGACTCGTTTCAATCTAACTGTGATGCAACCAGATTTCAAGGGGAAGGAACAAAACAATTCAAAAATGTCTTTATTCAGAGATACATCTTTAGGAATAAACAACAGTTGAAGCACAGACTCGTGCAGAACAATTTGAACTCTTTAAAAAAAAAATCTGATTCAGTAATATTTATAGAACGAAACATATATTTTGGCTGGACCACGTTTATAGACATTGTGACCGCCAACATCTTGCATCAATTACGAAACCTTGTTTGAAAATCTTGCAACTTTTGTAACAGTAAAAAACTATCCAATAGCTCACTAACATGTTGTAAAATGTACTGAAGCAACAAGGAGACAAATCAGGAAGATGCCCCAAAGTTAAAAACCAAGAGAGCAAAGTTTGGGTTTCACTAGAGACCATGGCAGTCAGCTTTGCACTTCTTTTCCTGTCTGTCCTCTCAGGTACGTTGCACTGTCTTAGGACCATAAAGTATAACAATCCGCATTAGGAGAGTGACAAAACCCATAATGTGATTTTTTATTTTTTTTTCCAGGGGCTGATGGAGCTCGTATTATTGGAGGCAAAGATGCTGTTGCCCACTCGCGCCCATACATGGCCTCGTTGCAAGTCATAGGTCAGCATAACTGTGGAGGTGTTCTGGTGAGAGAGGACTTTGTGCTCACAGCAGCACATTGTGACTTAGAATTGTAAGTCTCTTTGTTTTTTGTGTGTGGCAACATGGTTTTACAGATTGTTTAACACATTTTTAACAATTGAAGAAGACTAATAAAAAAAAGGTTAAATCGTGTCATCTGGATCAGTTTCTTTAAGTGAGAAACATTTCGTCCCTCATCCAGAGGACTTCCTCAGTCTACGAATGGGACGAAACATTTCTCACTTAAAGAAACTGGTCCAGATGACACGATTTAACCTTTTTTATTGTTATCTACCTGGATGATTGAGCTTACAACCCTAATCCAATAAGGCATACGATTATAATATTTTTGTATTCAAAAAACGTTTTTTATCAATGTGTTGCTAAGACGCAAGCAAAAAAACAAAAGAAATGTTCCTTACTGGTTCATACAAGCGTATATTTTTATTTTAAAGAAAGCTAATTTTGATGGTTTGCTGCATAAGATATTGGTTGTACTGACTGGAGGAAACTGTAAAATGTATCTTGAATATGTTTAGTACAACGTGCATATTGAGCTGTGCATGTGAAATTGTGTAATTTTTAGACCGTACACTGTTGTACTTGGAGCGGATTCTATAAAAGACCAAGAACCAGCAAAGCAGGAGTTTGGTGTTCTTCAATCTTTTCCATATCCAGACTACAACGATCTTGCAAATGACATCATGCTCCTAAAGGTGGGCCACACTCCATTTTGTTTTAAATTCATAATCAAATTAAATATAATTAAGATATATGCTTCTTAATCTTTTATTTATTTATGTACTTATTCATTTTATTTCAATAACCCCAGCTGAGTGGCAGGGCACAGCTTACCAAAGAAGTGCAGTTGATCCCTCTGCAGACTGAGCAGCTGACAACAGGAAGCGCCTGCATCACGGCTGGCTGGGGAGACATAGGCGATAATGAAACCTTAGCAAACCGGCTCCAAGAGGTCAATGTCACCGTTTTGTCTAACAAGTCATGTAAAAGAATATGGAAAGAAGCTTCCATAACAGAAACGATGGTTTGTGCCATGGGAGCCAGAAGCTTTCAGGGCTTCTGCTCGGTAAGAAAATAAACAAAAATACAAAGCGTTATTCACCACAAACATCACAGTATTTATATTTTTAAAAAGCTTACTAACTTTTAAATGTCTTGTGTGTAACGTTTCCTTCAAGGGGGATTCAGGTGGTCCGTTGGTGTGTGGTGGTGCTGCAGCGGGCATCGTCTCCTTCTCTGGACGCCGATGTGGAGACCCGAGGACCCCTGATGTCTACACTTGTGTTTCATGCTTCAGGGAATGGATACAAACAGTGTTAAACAACAATTAGGCCACATGGGCTTTTACTTGAATACAAATACATTTGAATAAATTCCCTTTTCTTTAAATTCTGGACTTAGATTTTTTTTATTCCTCCAATAAAATACTCAATATTTAGCAAGTTTAGTGCGGAAATAGCGCATCTATAAATGCTGAATTCAAAACAAGTGGGAAAAAACGGTGAAAAATATAACTATTTATTATACAAAAGTCAATTTGAAGTAAAATGATAAAGACAGAAAGAGCATTCGTTTTAGTTTTATTAATTAATGAAATTTCTTAAATTAGTATTTCTAAGCTCTGATGTAATGGACAGAGTGGATATCGCATGTCTTGATGTGTCAGCTGTTGTTCGGGGCCAAACAGAATTGTCAGAATACAAATGTATGAACACATGCATTGAATAAATCACTGCAGGCTCAGAGACAGTAATGCATGGCAGGAACTATCGGTTTTCATTTTGCATCTTCAGCAGTGAAGTGTCTAGCTAGTTTGCACTATTTCACATGCATAATGACCATATTTATTATCAATGTATGGTCAGTTTGCTTTTATTCATTGTTGCTTTGCACCCTTCTGTCCATATTTTTTTTTATTTTTTAGAAAATGTTAAGCCATCAAATTTTTAGTTTAAACACTGTGGCCCAATTCTGGATACCCTGCATTCTTTGTTTTCCATTCTGTCTTTAAGAGTTTTTAGCAACTTTTTTCATGTGGTTTAAGGATCATAATGTTAAATTTGCATACATTTTTTATTCCTCTATACCACCGTATTTGCAATGTATTCCTGTTACATAGAAAACTTTAATTTAGTGCCTTGCTTAAAACGTTTAAACTTGCCCAATCTGGGGTTGTCCCAACCAAAGTGAAATGGTGTTGTCATGCAGCCCTCTGCTGGTAATATTTTTTTAATCACGTTTACAAAGTATCCATTAGAATTTCACACTTGTTAGTACTTCTTTTTCTTTTTTTATACCATTTTACATTGCCCCTATGCCCCAAACATGCTAATGTACAGAAATCAAATCAAATTTTCATCTAGATCCTGTTGCATAATATTTGTCATTTCTACCCTTTACAGATAGCATATATGTTGAATCGTTTCTTATATCTGGGAGAAGTTGAACAAAAAATTGTATTTGTATGATTAAACTTTAATGCTTTGCTTTTTTTTGGTAAAATATATATTTTTTGCTGGTCTTATGACCTTTGACCCTTAGAGTACTCTGATATTTAGAATTACATTTTCAGTAGCGTGTCTTATACTTTTGCTCTGTTACAACAAATGCTCTTACTTTATGGTAATAAAACTAGTAAAAAGTAATAACCTATCTTATTTCTAACTCCGAAAAAAGATCTACCTTGTGTCGCTGTAATTAAAACTACAATACCCACAATTCTCCGCGCCTGTGGTTACGTCTATGTCTGCCGTCATGGTAACCAAGGCTTGCAGGGAACTAGAGGCTCCGCCCCCGTGAAAACTAGCTCCCATTTTATAGGTTTCGCGAGATTTGCGGTTGGCGTGTGATGACATTAATATCAGCCAAACGAACCGAAAAATACTGACATGAAATCAGCTTGAAGGTAATTAAATTGCGTTTCACGCAAAGATAAGGATGTAAACATTCGGTTATTACCGGTGTTTGTTTGTTAGCTACTGTCAGGGAGCGCGGGGGAGCGGATATTTGAACGCCTCCGCTTTACCTGCTTCAGTAACATCTGCAATATGAAGAGACAGACAGAGAAGCTGCAGAGTCCGGTGTAGCTTTTAGTTAACTTACCTACTGCACTACTGGTTGAATAGTTAGGACGTGAACCCCCTCGGAATGTTTATTATGTAAGTTTGTAAACCATTGTTATAAATGCGTAACTGAGGTAAGGTTTCACCTTGTCATTGTTAGCTTCTCCCAGCCACTCAGCTAAATAATTTATTTACTTATTAATTAAATTTATCATTCTTATTCTATATAGTAGATTATGTGCATGATGTGACCTCCAATACTGTACGCAGGAAGTTGCGCCACCAAGCCAGCTCATTGGTTGTTGGAGCTGTCAGTCATTTGAGCAGATCAACCCCTTTAAAATTGTTTTGTTTTTTTTTGTTTTGTAAATCTGACTGTGACTATGTGGTTATGTCTATTCTCAAACAAGCTACAGTTAACCAAACAGCTGAACATTTCTTTTGTCTCTGTCAAATAGTAACAGCTGAATTTCTGGAGTTATGATGTCCAAGAAAAGGGGCAGGTAGGTCAAAACAGAACTACTACTGTATATAAACTGTTGTGCAGCCATTTTTGATGATTTCAATGAAGGTATAGTTGTGGCCTCTGTAAAAAGTGTATTTATGTTGTTACATATACATTAACAGTAACGTTTTAGATAATTATAAAATCAAATGGCCTCAGAGAGCATGACGTGTAGACTGAATCAACTAGTGGTTCTTGGTCACTGTCAATATTGTTATTTTGTTTTTAATTTGTTTTTTTTAATAGGGACTGAACTAGAGTTGCATTCGGGTCCAAAAAGTATGACCCGGTCCCAGCCCGTAGCCATAATTTCCGAACCCCACCTGATCCGACGAATTAACAGTAATTATGGGTCCGAAACTGGGGGGGGATTTTTAATTAAGCTTTGACTGCTTATATAGTTATTAACGGTCAGCGGCTGAGTAAAGGGGGCGGAAGATCGGAGCTGAGGAGCCCTCAAAGCGCATTAAATACTTCCCCTGCATCTGCCTGCATTAGACCCTGCTCTGAAATGTCAGATATTTTGTGATCTCACCTGTTTGGGTCGTCGGCTGCATGCGTCCGCTGAGTGCTGCGGCTGAATGAACGTCCATTTGGGCTGATGGATCGCTGACGGTAGTCCATCTGAAGCTTAACTGAACTTTTTGCCTCTTTTAAGGCTGGTCAGCGCGCAGTCAAATGGGCGCGTGCGGAAGGTGATGTATGGCAAGCCATGTTGCCATATAATTGGATCGTCAGCCGCACACGTCTGCTGACACTATCAAAAGCCCAACACCGACCTGGCTTGCACATTATTATGGACTGGACCGGCCCTAATCTGGGACGGGCGGAGCCAGGCTCTGGGTTTGGGTTAGAAATGACAGCTGTAGACTGAACAATACCGTTCAGTCACTACTGAGCAAATAGCGAATCTCTTTCCATTATTATTATATTATTACCCCGTGTACATAGGTTTAATGTTAACACTGGGAAAAAACCACTATGAGAAACAGATTAATTTAAATCAGTATATATCCACTGAACATTTTAAGCATTTATTTCCCATTGAGATTTGCGAATTTTATAAATGAAAATTAAATTGATAGATTTGATTAATTTTGTTCATCCAGAAATTAAAAATGGGTGTCTTCACTTTTGCTATTGTACTTGTTTATTATCAGAAAGCGAAGCAGTGGGGAGCTGAGTGACACCTTGACCCCAGATCCTAATGACATTGTGGGAGTTCGCATTCAGCACAACTGGCGGGAGAAGGGGAACCAAAGCAAATGGAAAGGAACAGTACTCGACAGGCTGAGTGTAAATCCCTCCCTTTTCATGGTGAAGTACGACGGCTTTGACTGCGTCTATGGCATCGAGTTGTTCAAGGACGAGAGAGTGTCGAACCTGCAAGTGTTGTCGGAGACAGTTGGTGAGTCTGTGACAAGGTTCCGTTTTGTCTGTGCCCGCTTTCATCAGTTCCTTTATTTTACACACCAACCAAAATATGTATTCTCTGTGCTTGTGTCTCTGCAGTGAACAACAAACTAAGGATACCCCCTGGGGCTGAGGAGCTGGTGGGCAAAGCTGTGGAACATCTGTTTGAAAAGGAGGATGGCGAGAAGAACGAGTGGAGAGGCATGGTCCTGTCCAGAGCTCCAATCATGACCAACTGGTATTATATCACTTATGAGAAGGACCCTGTTCTTTATATGTACCAGCTGTGGGACGACTACGCTGATGGAGATCTGAGGATTTTGCCTGAAGAAGGTACTTTGTGTTTAACAGAGTCTGCCTCACAAAAATTTAGGATCTGTGATAAACTCGCCTCAATGTTTTGGAAAGAAAAGAAAGAAAAAAACGGCCCCATGCAAAACAAAAAGTGATTTTAATATTTTTTTAAGTGCTACCTCTTCACGGTTTATGAAATTTGTTGGTTTTGGACAATCTTAAATGTATTAGGCAATCCTAAATTTATTAGCAACTTTAAACATGCAGAAAAAGTAGATGCCAATTTGAAATTATTCTTATTTTTTGATACATGACATTTAAATAATCATGACTTAATAATTTATTTTGTGATTAAATGACAAGTGGGAGTGGTGGTGCAGAGGTTAGAGAAGGTGGGCCTGTGATTGGAAGGTGACCGGTTCAACTCCCGGTACCGACAACATAAAAAAATGTGGGTGAGAAAGGTGAAACACCCACATCTGCCTCCATCCCCATTTGCCCCACTCTGAGCCCTTAGCAAGGCCCTTAATCCCCACCATCTGCTCCCCCTGGACATACTAGATGGCGGTTCTCTGCTCCGCACAGAGGGCTGTGGTAGCTCGGTGGTGGTGTCAGGAAGGGCATACGATATAAAAATAATTGCCATGTCTTCATGCGAGTTAATTCACTGTGGCGACCACTGAAGAAGGGAGCAGCCGAAAGAAATAATAAAATGTAATTAAACAACAAAGACAGCTTACCATAGACTTTTTTTTTTTTTCTTTTGGCTGCTCCCTTCTTCAGGGGTTTGCACGAAGACTTGGTATTTGTTTTTACACCGGATGCCCTTCCTGACACAGGCCATGGAGCTACCACAGCCCTCTGTGTGGAGCAGTGAACTGCCATCTAGTACGTCCAGGGGGAGCAGGTGGTTGGGGCTAAGGGCCTTGTTCAAGGGCCCAGATTGGGGCAAATGAGGGTGGAGGCAGGTGTGAATGTTTCACCTTTCCCTTCCTCATTTTGATGTTGTCGGCACAGGGAGTCGAACCGGCGACCTTCCGAACACATGCCACCTCCTCTAACCTCTGCGCCACCACTCTCCCATACAGCTTAGAACAGCCCGTCTCTCTTAAATAAACTGTCACACCTGACACTGCTCAAAAGGTTTATATGCATTTACTACAGCCTTGAAATATTTTACACGTTCTAAAGGGGCATGTGATAACAAAAACGTTCACATTTACTATGGACGTCTTGCACAGATTACCATGACAAATTAATGTACCCGTTTCTCATTCGGAACCAAAACTTCCACGGCACGGTTCAACGTCAGAACCTCACATTTGTGTGCTTTACTCAAGCATGCCTAGTGTTTCCTAAGAACCAACTACGTCATCTGCCGCCACCGAGAAATGAAACCTTCAGACTTTTTGTTACACTGTTCGTGTTACGTAATGTGTTAGTAATTTATAGATGTTCCCTCTTCACAGAAAACAAGCACCTGTTGCCTGCAGACAGAAAACCAGGAGAAGAGACAGAAAGTCTGGTGGGGAAACAAGTGGAGTATGTTACAGACAAGGGTGTGAAGCGGACAGGACTGGTCATCTACCAGGTCCCAGCCAAACCCTCTGTATACTACATTAAATATGATGATGACTTTCATATTCATGTCTATGATCTGGTCAAAACCACCTAGACATTGTGGACACTTTTATCTCATCCTCCAGCCGCCTCTCATTCACTTTTTGTTCAACTGTTATTCACAAACATGGCAGGGTTGATTAGTAGCCGATATGCTTTATTGTTCAGAAGTTAGTGCCCTTTGTGTTTATATGCACAGTAGAACTGTAGCACTGCTATGCTTTTTACTTTGGAAAGGTGTTGGGTGTTTGCTTCCTATGAAACCTTACATTGGACACTTTAATATTGTGCTGCTATGGGCTGTGCAGTCGTTACTGCATTGCATTGTTGCCATGAATCAGTCTGTTAAGCGACTCTCTTAATTACCGTAAATCTCATTGACTTTAAAAGCAGCACAGAATGTTGTCCAATTACACTTTTTGTTTTCGGGGTTCTTAAGCTAACGAGCTTGTAACACAGTGTTGGAAATAAAAGCTTTAATTTGTTGTTAGTTCTAGAAGAAGTCCATCTTACAAAATCTCTTCAATTAGGTCCTTTTGTTCTCGGATGCCAATACAGTCCTGCATTTTTGGACCAGGTTTCAAATATAGTTGAACTCTTAAATTGGCTAGATATTTCATTTTGTCTAACTTGGCTTTTCTTGTGAAGGATTTAAAAAATGCTCTTGAGTGATAATGTAAGAACACCACGGTGTTCTGTCCTGAGTTGCTAAATTAGTAATTGAACGCACACAAATCAGAAAGTGCCTTTAGGCTTGTCAGTTTGGCAATGTTGTACATACCATTTGTGTAAACTGTGCTTTATATTTCTGCAAATGATGGCTGCTCCTTAGCTTTCATTGGTAGTTTGAGGAAAGTTCTTCAACCATCGGTTTGCAAAAGTGGTGTTGAAAATGTCCTTTAAACATTTTTAAACATTTTATTGCTTGCATAAATCTCACTGTTGATGTTGTGGGCAGCACTTTATTGTATAAAGTTTACATAGTTTATTGTGCAGTCTAATACTTTGCTCTGTGTTCTTTAAAACTAAAGGGGCAGACATATGCTTTAAATTACATGCATGAAGGGGAAAGGAATTAAGCTGCAATACTTACAGATGACAGTATTTACTCTGTGAAACTTGTGAATAATCTTGCTTTCATTTATTTTATAAACATGTTTCTTTACAACATAACCCTCTTTTGAACTAATTAATTAAAATTTAAACCGTTTCCAGAATTCAATCAGCTATGAAACCAATTTGTTGTAACTACCAGTAGGTTTTCAGTCTTTAAAATCCCAAACGTTTGCTTGCCCAATGGAGTTCATTCAAATTTTGTGATTGTTGTAGTCACTGGTTTTTTTGGCCTGTTTTTTTTTGTTGGTATATCTTTCAGTAAGCTATTTTACCTTTTCTGTTTAACCCTAGATGCATCACCTAAACAGTGCCTGAAGGTTTCATATCTTTATTTTGTCACGAGACAAATTGTGCTAGATTATTTTCCACCTTTCAAATAAAAAGACATGAACACTATACATCACTGTTAATAGTTCTTTTCTTGTGTGGGTTTGAGTCAAACTATTGTGCTCTACGCTTCAGTTGCCTCCTCCAGTTTTGAATTTGTTGCAGAATAAAATGGCTGTTCATGTCATATTATTATTTTGGAAGAAAAGGTTTTTGCCTATTTGTTTCTGTTCAAACACACACGATGTAATTGAGATTTGACTCAATAAATCAAACTGAAGACAAAATGTTTTAAGACTATTCTTATTCTGAATAGTGAAATTGCATATATACACAACATTCACATGATTTAAGCTAGCAGTGGACAAGATGGTATTAACTTTAATAAAGGACATTAGTAACATTTAATTTACTGTTAAACACAAAATGAACAAGATATTTAAAATACCTTTTCCTTCTCTGTGTTATGTACTACTTCCATTTTAAAGCACATTTAATAAAAACAGCATCCTTCAGAAGAAAGCAGTCCTTGTAACTGGATGTCACTTAACAGTTTCATGTTGACCATCTTCTTGACGGGGGAGACACATTTTTAAGGAGTACCGTCATGTCAAGTGCAAAAGTCATGTGAATTGATAATGTGAAGCCACCCATAGTTTGTTCATTTGATCAGGTCCTTTACATACTGCGCTCCCTGATTTGCATATTCAGCTGCCTTTGTTGGAGCCTCAGAAAGATTTGAAATTGTCCACCGGACTCCTGGATTGACAGGAAAAAAAAAATCAGTTTGCAGTCTGAAACTATGAAATACTTCTCTCTAAGTTAAATGACACCAAAACTGAATGCTATACAAATGTACTGCTAATGGGTATAACTGAATGTATCAAGAGTGAGCAAAATGCATCACTGAATTTTTTTTTTTTTTTAAATATTCAAGTATATTTTTAAGATGAGAAAATAGCCATTTAGTTCTTACCAGAGTTCCATGATTGAACAGGAGAGAACTCAATCGTGGGCATGGTTGGAAGCTGAGCCTAAGGATGGTGAAAAAGAAAATAGATGTGTGCACATTGGAACAGGGTGTAATCATTTTATTTAAACATATGGGATGCCATTGAAATATGATTTACATATGAAATACATTTCACTGTCATTACCTTGTAACCAACACTTTACTATTAAAAAAGAATCCATCACTGACTAAAACTGAATAACCCAAAGAGTCTGTGGAATTTGCCAGATTTAAATTACTCATAATTCTGTGGTTAAAGTTGACAATATAATGTCATAGTCTCTACCTCAAGACCGAAATACTTCATCCATTCCTCTAAGGCAGGTGGTACAGCAGCTTTGGCTTTCTCCAGGGCCTCTGAGCCCTGTTGACTGTTTCCCAGCAGACCCGAGTCACACGCGACGTAAACGGCTCCTCCTGCGATGGTCACCTTGGCGGCTAGTCTGCACAGGAGAAGACCAAAGGCGACTATTGTTAGCCAGGAAAAACTCGGCCGTGTACCACAAAACATAATGAAAACGCGTAGACACCAATAGTTTGTTTACTTATTACCCTTTTGGTAAAACGACAGTAGCGATTGAAAACTCTTCGTTAACAAACAAAGTCTGCTTACGTGAAGTCCAAATGCAGGTAATGTCATTAATCAAATGTGTGCTAACTGGGAACTACTCATAAACAAGTTTCTGCGGCTGTCAAGCTCCTGGACATACTAACAGCGTTAGCTTGAAGGCTAATTGTGCATTAGCACGAGCCACTACAAATTAATTTACAAGAAAGTCAAAAACGAAAGTAAAAATACTAACTTCAGTAAGGGCAAAATCCTTGCCATCGTGGTCCACAGCTGTGTAATCTTCCTTTACGTGCACTTTTTAACGAACACTTCCAACACATACGGAGTACACTTCTACTAGCTTGCAGCACTGAAGGACAAGTCTGCTCCGCCTCCGTCCGTTTGTTCCTGCGCACAAACGTTTTGTCAATAAAGTTGAGCGTTGAAAGTCTAACTGTATTTCGGAGCAGCAGATTCGTCAGATTTTCTTCTGTATGATTCAAAATAAAACACTTGACGACTTAATCCGTAGAATATTATCGGGGCTTTAATTGCATGTAAATTATATTAAAATTACGGTGTGTATTTCAAGCACAAAAAGATGAGCGTGACTGAAAAATCTCTAATCTGAACATTACAGAGAGAGAGAGAGAGAGAGAGAGAGAGAGAGAGAGAGAGAGAGAGAGA